GGCAGCAAACGAAGCCGTTTGTAAGAGACTGTCAAGGAAGCGTCGTTTTTATTTTTGGTTGAAGAGGCCAAAATGGAGAACAACATCAGGTGCACAGTCACAGGTGTCCGCGTGAGTCGATCAGAGACTCCACTCGTGTACGGCAGCAGGAGTGGGGAGGCCACAGCCACGGGCATGGAGGTTCACGATGAAGCCAGTCCGAGTACACACGATGCAGGGGAAGGAGGGTAGTTACGGTTACCTGTGCCAGTTCTGGTTTTGCCTAACCCTGTGCCTCCTCTGTGGTCCGTTACCAGCGGTGGTTCTGACTACAACGTGCACTAACACGTTTCTTCTTCCAGCCTCCTTCGCGTTCGGTATTGCTATTTCCCAGCTCTTTTTTTTGTAGTAAACTATAAACAGAATCTTTTCGTCACGGTTTTCAGACTCTGCTACAGAGCACGGATAGAGATGGTCCTAACAACAGTCTGTGGAAAACAGACGCTTTCTTATCTCGAAGCACGGGCCATCCACCTCCCCAATTCTGTTCCACTATCCCATGAATCCAAATGAGAATACACCTCCCATCAGCTGAAATCACGCAATTTCTTTAAGCAAGGGCCTCATACGCAAAGATAACACCATCTCATCTACATATGCTTCTGCATTAATCCCGTTCATCTTCACTAGAGGAGGTGTGGCACAGAGTTTATGTTCCAAGTTACTTCCTAAAGCTTCAGATGTTTCTTTACTGCTTTCTCTCCACAGAAAAGTCACTTTGGTGACTTCGGTACTGAAACTGAAACAATTCTGGGTGGGCACACTGCCACCTTTAAACACATAAGAAAAACAAAAACCCAATTCACTAAGTTAGTAGCGGCAAAATCCCCAGAAAGAAAAAAAAAAATAAAATTTACATCTCTATCCCATTTTGTTGTCAGACTGTTCACTGTGTTCCATTTACATCATGACTAACCAGGCCCATTATAAAAACAAGAAAGTAACCATGAAATAAATAGATGTTGACACTAGTGGGATTTCAGGGGTGTTACAACTCATCGTTTTTCCTGCTTTCTCCTCCCGCTTCTGTCTTCTTCTCTTTTTTGGACCCTGTGTAATGAAGTAAACTCAGTTACACACCGTAACAGTTTTCACAGTATACAAAGCAGTGCTGAAAGTCCCTGACATTCATTAAGTATTCCACCGAACTCTCAGTCTATGGTACAGAAGTCAGGGGAATGCTTTGAGGACCGATACTCAGCTCCAAAGAGCCGGAGACGCTACTGCCCTCCAGCTGTTGAACACTGCTGTCCTCACAACAGGACTGGCCAAATAAACACACACCTGCACATCAGCTCTTCAACAAAGACGGGCTTACGGCTACGGGACCGGCTATAAACTGCAGCGACCAATGCATAAAGCAGCTGCTGAGGCAGGGGGCAGTGGTACGTTGTAACTTCACACTGAACAATGAAAACGTAGGAACAGCGAGGAACCAAAATCTGTGTCTTTGCAGAATTAACAATTGCTTCGCAATCGGGGGTTCTACCGTCTTACTACCTCCTACAGCTAAAAAGATGGAAAGAAGCACACAGACAGCTTGCACTTGTAGCTACCAAGTTCCAGACCGTTAGTTAAACATTTACCCACCAGAGTCTGATCCTGGCTCATCATCTGTTGCTACTTTCTCAGCTGTCGGAGGTTCCTTGGCTGGACCGATATCCTCAGGTTTGCCTACGTTTAAAGCAGAAAGAAACAGCGCAAAAGTTAAGGAAGAATTAACTGCGTATTAAGGAAGAATACACAGGAGATTAGGTGACTAGCGGTGAGGTTTACAAACGAGCCAGCTATGGTGCCTCAGCAGGACTGCAGTAATTCACTCTCACAGTGGATCTCTATAACACTCAGAGAAGCATCATAGAACTGCTCCTTATTTCTCACTGCCTCTGTCTGCCAGGCTTTATGTCCCTAGAAGCCCTGGAGATTCACTGGTTGCACAGGCAAGTCACCTTTGCAGCTGTGACTATAAGCAGGATCTCTTACTCAGGCCAGAGGAACCAGCAGGGAACTCTGCCGACAAACAGCAGTCTAGATTTAAAAGGACCAGGGCACTCAGAACCCGAGGATCTTAAAAAGTTCAGAGAACTGCGAGTCTTAGTGTCCCAAGAGATTTTTTTTTTTCCCCTGGGGTCCATCTAAGCCACAAACCTCTCTCATCAACAGCTTATTCTGTTCCTTGACATAGGACACAACCTTGAATACTTGCTCTGGACACCCAGAACGGAATTGATGGCTTATCTTTCTTATACGGCAGCCAGCCAACCAGACAGATACTGACTAACCATCCTAGGAAGTTTATAAATACTTTCTGTTCCTTCACAGAAAAAAAACAAACAAACAAGTGGTGGGGGGGGGGGGAGGG